TATGGTTATACTGTATTCATAAAAATAATTATGGTAGAAAAAATCATGTGCATGTTGCATTACTAAATGATATTTATTATTATATGTTACTGCATTAATTAATTCATTAAATTATAACACAATTACTTAACTGTGCGAAAAAATGTGTCCTAACTTTACCAATGATTTTGATACCCTTAACGAGGGTATAACCGGCGGGTTTGGCACCGTATATAAAGTGCGCCAAAAATCTAACCGCAAAATATACGCCGTTAAAAAAGTGTTAATTGAGGGTAAGATTACATTCTACATAATTAAACAAGGTTATTTAATAAATTATTTTCCCAATCAGAAAATTTACGGAAAAAGGCAATACATGAAATGCAAACTATAACATCACTACACAGTGTATATGTGGTCAAGTGTTTTGACGCATGGGTTGAGCGCAACGTTATATATATTCAGATGGAGTTTTGCGGCCATAATCTCAAAGACGTTATGCAACTAAAGGCCAGGGCTTTCGGTTTAGACATCGAGGACGAGAGCGGGACGGGGACAGACCAGGACTCCCAAACCGTGACACTACTCCCGGAGCGACACCCCATAGACTACTTGTTATTGTGCGAAATATTCCGGCAACTAGTGTCCGGACTGGAATACCTGCACGGCTTAGACCCGCCGGTTATACACCGGGACTTAAAGCCGGCGAACATTCTGTTTGTGGAGAATTCCGGGAACGGAATATTCTGTAAAATTTGCGACTTTGGTTTAGCCCTGATTAAGGCCAACGCCAGTGAGAGTATTACACTGACTGCCGGTGCCGGCACTCTGGGCTATATGGCGCCCGAGTGTTTCAATAGCCGCTATTATCCAGAATCCGATGTTTATAGCTTGGGTATTATTGTGGTCAATTTGTTTTATTTAGACAGGTAATTTGTTATTTTTGCAACAATTTTAACTAAAGTAAAAAACTGTAATAACTGTAAATATGTCCTTAATAAAGTAGTATAGATTAATATGACATGAAAGTTAAATTGTTATTAGGGTAATTGGTGGCGGCCAATCATTTAATCAAAATAAAAAATATAATTTACTAAAAATATTAATAGTTTTATTAATTATTAATTTGTTTAGTTAGTTTATTAAGTTGCCAGATAATTAGTATTTTAAATTAAATTAATAGCGTTAAAGCTGTATAAAAGTTATCTATGAATATAAGGATGACATAAAATTTTAATTGCTCTTCGAAGGTATTACAAAATGTAAATACTTTTAAACTTAAACCACTATTTTTCAAATTAACATTCATTAAATTTCCAATATTTTATAAATTTTTATTTATGTTTGCAAATTTTCAAAATTATATAATTAATATAACATTAAAGTTTAATGATTAAACCAATGATAATTTAACTTTTTTAAAATTAACAAACATCATTATATTGATAATTATATTTACAGTTTTTTACAAGGTGGTAATTCATAATTAATTATAAAAATGCAATTATAAATTTGGAATAATTAAAACAGTTTGTATTTTACAGTACTTTAAACGACCATGCACCAAATAATACTAAAGTTAAGCGCTTAATAGAATACGTTGGCGAAATGACAAACGGTACCTACTCAAAACGACCATGCTGCACAGAAATATTAAAACAAATGCCTGAATGGCAATATAACACGAGTGAAATACTTGATATGTCGGTAGAGCTACTCGTGTCCATACATGTCATTAGTGAATGTAAATTATTTATCAACCTGTATAAAACTCTATTTGAAAACATGATAAAAGTTCACGCTTTGGAATCTAATCAGATTCGCGATCAACTATATAAAATATTGGATAAAATTATTACCATGTGCATTCAACCACCAATTGATGATCATGGTGGTAATACTGACCATCAGATTAATTATGTAGTTAGTTTGAATATATTTCATTCAAAAATTAGAGAATTATTTCACCGGTTTATTTTCCAAGACATTGATCAAGATCATTTTTGCAATGAATATCAATTGTACTGCCATAGATATACCGTGGTGGAAAATGATAGATTTATTCACCAAGCTTGTATTGTTCAAAAACATTTTACAATGTGCTTAAAATTCATCACAAATTCTATTAAAACTTTAAACACTAATCAAGACAGTTATCCTTTGGAGGCATTTATACTGCAATATAATGAAAACATTGACATAATTAGAAACAAAACCATAGAGTTAATTGATCCGGATGGTAAGCGACAAAATTGTACCATTCACGATATTGGTTTTATTTTTGAGCTTGATAACTCTATTGGGAAAATATACTTTCCTGTAAACAATTATCTTACTAAATACATCGAACTAATTAAAAATGAATATAGCTGGATGCTTATTTCATCGGACAGTACAAACCAGTTAACGCAGGCCAGTGAAAATCACCTTGACACATGCGACGCGCAATTTGAAACTGACCAAGTTGATTATACCTATCACGATATGGTTGGCTATAAAAACATTTGCAATGAATACCGCAATATATTGCGACATAAACTGGAGTCAGAGCTGCACACTTTCATTCAAGATCTAAAATATGCCCAAAAGTTTGCGGGCACATTTAAAACACAACTAGCTGATTGTTATCGTGAGTGCACGGTGGCCGAGTACCATGCTCAAATTCAGTTATATACTGAATATCAGCGTTTATACAGGGAGTCTACGGACAGATATGACCTCTATTATAGCGATCAAACCGCTGGTAATATTATGAACGATAATCTCAGCGCTGATCTCAAGCATACGATTAACACGTTTTACCGATCGCTCGTGAAATGCAAGGAATGGCTGGAGAGTTGTCTGCATAGGTATGGCGAGAGACTGGATGAAGCATATGATAGTGTCGGGTGTTTTCACCGCTGTATTAACCCTATGGGTAATTGGTAAAAATAAAGCAAAGATATTTACCATAATCTTTTTGATGAGTTCAGTAAAGGTATACCCGAAAGCGATGGAGTATAGGTTTAAGGGCAAGTTCTATCCGGAGACCTTGGTGATTATAAATAATAGGTTTCACCAATTGCGAAGTAAATATAATTGTAATGCATTTGTTTTGTGTAATTGATTTTGATTTAGTTTATACAATATATGCCATATGTAACTCTAGATGCTTATGCAGTAACATGTAATCAAACACAGCAAGTTCACTTGATTTGGTATTAATAATTTAATTTTAAGATAATTTTGTATATAAATGTTCTTGCTAATAATATTCATTTTGCCATTTAATAAAGAATGTGTTTTACATTTTTATTGTCTTAAATTAAAATAATGTCATTTTATTCGTGTGTTAGTGAGTGAGTGATAGAGTGAGAGAGAGAGAGAGAGAGAGAGAGAGAGAGAGCTAATAGAAATAATATGTTAATTATTTAAGCAATTTAGTGATAAATGATAAATTAAATTACTAATTTTAAAGTTTGGTTGTTTAACATTTATATAAAATTATTATATATTTCAATTGACAACATAATTAAATTTTAATTAATCATGCTGTTTTAACAAATTAAGTGTACATGTTTCTTTAAATGTTTCTTATTTCTAGATATATCTGGAAAACTTTAAATTGTAACAGTATCATTTTGGATAGGTATATGTAAAATATGATTAGGCAAGTTACAAAATAGTTATTACAAAAGTAATATTTAATTTAGTTTTTATGTCGTTATTTTTCAAATAATAATTGTTATTTCAAGAATTACCAAATGCAAAGTAGAATATGCTGCCTAAGAATTTACGCAATGTAAATTATGTAATAATTGAGTATAATTATTTAATAGAAAAATGATAAAAGTAAAATTGTTTTACTGAAATTTAATATTTAATTAAATTGCAGTTCAATAAAAGTAATTTCATAATTAACTAAATAAATAAAGTAAATCTACAAAAACAATTCTTATGATTATTATGATTGTATTTTAAAATTTAGCACATTCAATTCAAATGTTTATTTTAAAATCTGTAATCAGCTTAATACTTTTAATTTTCAAATAGACACCAACACGTTATCTTAAAATTTAAGACTTAAATGAACCATAGATTTGGCAGTTTTAATATCTCCTTAACAAAATTGAATCCATTTTTACATATCATGCTTTAATTAATCCTATAAACATTAATTCTGTATATTTCAGTTAATACATATATTTAATATGTACATTCTGGTTAATTAAACAATCTTTTTAATGTGTTCTGCATAGGGTATACCCGATAAACTTAGAGAGTATAGGTTTTAGAGCAAGTTTTATCTGGAGACCTTGGTTATTATTAATAATAACTATAACTTATAGTGCATTTGTTTTGTGTAGTTGATGTTGATTTAGTTTATACATGCCAAATCTAACTTTAAAAGCCTATGCAGTATTTAATTTGGCATTAATAATAAAAATATGTTAATTACTTAATCGATACAATACTGTTCGATACGATACTGTATTATAAATTAAAATACTTATTTTAAAGTTTTACATTAACATAAAATTATATTATATTTCAATTGACAAATAACTAAATTTTAATTTATCATGCTGTTTAAAAAAATTAATATGTACATGTTTCTTATTTCAAAACATGTCTGAAAAAATACTAAATTTTACCGTATTATTTTAGATAGGTATATGTAAAATATGAGAAGACAAGTTACAAAATAGTAATTATATAAGGATATATTTTATTTATTTTTTATGTTGTAAGATTTTTCAGATAATTGTTATTCCAAGAATAACCAAATGTAAAGTAGAATATGCTGTGTATGAATCTACACAAATTAATAATTCTATCATAACAAAATAACCTTCGTTAAACCTATTAAAATTAAAGTAATTTATAATTTGTTAGTGAGTAAAAAAATAAGAGAGAGAGAGAGAGAGAGAGTAAAAAAATATGTTAATTACTTAGTCGATACAATACTATTCGATGCAGTATTATAAATTAAAATGCTTATTTTAAAATTTTACATTTACATAAAATTATTTTATATTTCAATTGACAAAATAACTAAATTTTAATTAATCATGCTGTTTTTAAAAATTAATATGTACATGCTTCTTATTTTAAAACATGTCTGAAAAAATACAAAATGTTACTGTATTATTTTAGATAGGTATACGTAACATATGACCAAGCAAGTTACAAAATAGTTATTACATAAGTAATTTTAAATTTAGTTTTTATTTTGTAAAATTTTTCAGATAATAATTGTTATTCCAACAATTGCCAAATGCAAAGTAGAATATGCTGTGTAAGAATCTTGCAAGTTACAAAATAGTTATTACATAAGTAATTTTTAATTTAGTTTTTATTTTGTAAAATTTTTCAGATAATAATTGTTATTCCAACAATTGCCAAATGCAAAGTAGAATATGCTGTGTAAGAATCTACGCAAATTAATAATTCTATCATAACAAAATAACCTTGATTAAACCTATATAAACAGAGCACATCGTCCCAAATGATCATTATCAAGTCATATCTGATTTAAACTATACTAAAACTACAAAACAATTAACAGGTAAAATATATTAGTTTATTAAGTTTGTTTAATACTATTTAATATGTTTGTAGATCCTCTTCAAGATGTCCATGGTAAACAAGTTGATGATGGTTGCGTTGATGATGGTAGCGATGATGTCTGCTATGCTCATTAATGTAGCAGTTGTTGAGGGATGTGCATCCAATCGAGACTGTCAAGCAAAAGCCGAGTTCTGTAATCCAGAAGGTGACTGTGTTGAGGGATGTCGAGGCCCTAGTGATTGTTCTACATGTCCTACATGTAGCCCATTTGCTACATGTGCTACAGACACAGGTCAATGTTCAGTTGTTGAGGTATGTACATCCCCTAGTGATTGTGGTCCATGGGGTATATGTTATCCTGATGAAGGTGAATGTGGTATAGGGAGTAACATGTAAGGATATAATGTTACATTTATATTGTATTTTACAATGTTTGTCTATAACTTAAAATTAATACTGTATAAGCAAAATAATTATTAAATAAAACAACATTGTTAAAATTTGAAATAATGACAGTAAAATTGTATTAATAAAATTTAATATTTGATTAAATTGCAGTTTAATAAAACTAATTTCATAATTAACTAAATAAATAATGTAATTCTACAAAAGACAATTCTTATGGTTATTGGGATTTAATTTGAAAATTTAACACATTCAATTCAAATGTTTATTTGAAAATGTTTCTATAGAATTTACATGTGTAAATAATACATAAAGCCTAGAGTAAACTGTTTAAGTTTGTTGTATTTGTTAATGTTAATTGAATATTTTAGAGCCAATTTGATTTTGGTACAAAATGGATTGCGTTATGTAAATAATCCTTTTGTATGTTCATTTTTCTTTATTAATTGTTTGTTCAAGAATTAATTTTTATCAAAATTAAATATTTTTTACCAGAATAGACACTAACATGTTATCTAAAAGGAACCTAGATGGCAGTTCTAATAACTTCCTAACACAGTTAAACCAATTTCACATGTAACACTTTAATTAATGCTATATATTCCATTTAAAAGATGTATTTCAGTTGATAAGTAAATTAATGCAATCTGCACTCATTCAGCTAACAAATTAAATATGCCCAAAAATGCGCTGCCACATTTCAAACCAAACTAGCTAATTGTACTATAGGTCGGATACCATAAGTTACAGTCTGAATACTAGCGCCTGTCTATAGAGTGTGCGGACAGTTATGACAGCTATTATAGCAATCAAAGTGCCAGAAATATTATGAACAACAGTCGCATTATGAGGAACATGATAATTGGGTGTTTTGAGCGCTGTATTAACCCTATGGGTAATTAATTAAAATCAAGCAAAAATATTCACCAAAATCTTTTTGATGAGTTCAGGAAAGTTATACTTGAAGAGCTGAACGAGTATAGGTTTGAGGGCAAGTTCTATCCGGGTACCTTGGTCATTATTAATAATAGGTTATATTTATTGCAAAGTAAATAAAATTATAGTAGCTAAAACCCTAGAAGCTTAAACTGGGAGATTACTCTCCCATTTGCACTTTGAATTTCAATTAAAAATCAACGAAGAGTGCTAGCCAGAAAAAAAATTAGTAATGCCTCACAAATAGTTAGGTTTATAAATATGTAAAGTTATATTATTGTAAAATTTAATTATCATGGTTAAATCGCGGTTAAATTAACGTTTGGGATATTATTTTCCCAGTTTATGCGCAATGTAACTTTTTTCACGCAGTATAAATAGTGCTAATTTTTATTTGAACTTAATGCATAAACTGGGAGATGTATCTTCCAGCATTAAACTGCATAAACTGGGAGAATAATCTCCCAGCATAAACAGCACTAAAGCGTGGGATATTTATCTCCCAGTTTATGCACTAACTGCTGGGAGATTACAATCCCAGTTTATTTACAACGTTATTATTTTTGTTTAAGGGTTAAATATTCAAATTACTAATATTCAACCATATATATAAATTACCAGTATATTATAATTTATAATTATTATAAATGTTTTTTAATTTAAAAATTTAATGGCTTATGATCCAAATAAATGTAAGTAAAATATATTTTTAGGTAAATTATTTAAGTT